ATTGCCACTTTGAACTGTGTCTATCTTCACTTCACTGCAGCGCTGGCTGTTGTATTTCCGGCCTTCCGTGCTCATGCGTGTTCCAAATAATTCTGTGGCGAGGTGTGCGTGAGTGGAGGTATCATCTCCATCTTTACGGTGCGGCGTGCCGTTTCTTGCTGCTGTGGGTCCTCAGGACACTCTTGCCTCCCGAGTGACTACTGTCAAGTTTTCCGAGCGGCTTCTGTCTTCCCCTGCAGTCGTCTCGGGCTTTCTCTCTCCCACACTTAGGCGGATGATGAAAGCCACCTTGCAGGGAGCCCCCGAGGCACAGCTTAGTGCGTAGGAGCGACCCTTTCCCACTTTCGTAAAACTTCGTGCAGCAAGAAAGCCAGAGGATGCGTGCTGCGCCTGCTGTTTTCGCTGTGACAAAGCGATGTGCACGGGCTGTTGCGTTGCTACATGAGTGTTTGGCGTTTGTCGGTGTGTTTGTTTGGCCTTCTGGAGCTGGGATGTTGCGTGTGTCAATTGCGGTTCGCAGACCTAGCGAGCCTTCCGGCCACTCTTGAGCTAAACCCTTCACACGAGCTGGTGACGTCCCTGTATCATCTCCGCAGCTCAAATCCAGATGTGGCCAAGGTAAGCACGGGCCGTAGGGTTCCTGTTTTGTGGGTAGCTGAGCCTTTCTCCTGTTAGGCAGCGCTGAACCTCCCTTATCACCTTCACATGCTATGTAGGGTCGAGGGTGGGGGGCGAGCATAGTAGATGAAGCGTTTGCTGCACTAAGACAGTTGCACGGCAGCTAGTGGAGGGTGTCTGGTGTGTCTGCCTGCAGCTCTTGGTGGAGCAGCTGTTTGACAACGCCTGCGTCGCCGCAGGAATAATGGAAGAACCCAAGTCCATGCTGGGGAGATTGAATAAGCTGATGTCTCTAACGGCCCAATACGCCTACCATCACGCAGGGGCTGCTGCTGCCCAGCCTTCCCCGACATCCGGGGAGGCAGCGAAAGCAGCGCCTGAGGAGGCTGCCGAGACGGCTAGAGTTTAAGAACATAAAGCTACAAATGGCTTGGGCGGAGGGTAGTTAGGATTTGCAGCTGATTACGCTTAACAAGCAGTCCTAAGGGGCCCGCAGATCGCAGGGGCTGCACTGAGATACGTGGCGGCGCTGTGGTGCCGCTGTGAGACTTGCGCTGGACGNTGAGCTGAGCTGTCAGACTGTTCTTGCGAAGCCATGGGCAGGGTGAAGCTAGTGTTACAGGATAAGGGAAATATGCAGAAGGGTGGCAGCTGGGTACAACGGTTTGTTGTGACTCCGGGGTCAAGGCAGACAGACAATCAGTACCGCTGACAGCGTAGGAGTGAAAACGCGAGTTAGGGCCGCCTACCCTTGGCAGGCTAAGCTGAAACCGGTGGCTCCTGATGCAGCCCCTGGGTTTGCAACTCCCCCATCCGGGACAAACAATTCCTTTTATGCGGACCAGGAAGGTGTGGACCCCCACGCTCGCATCTCAGACGGGGGGCCATATATCGTGCACATCTTGCAACGTCTCGTAGTTGTATGAACGCAGCAACCCAATAAACTCAGCCAGTAGAAACTTCGGCTCCGATCCCCACAGCTTGAGCAGCTCAGCCCTGCACTCACGCGAAGCAGCAGCAGCAGTATCACTGACACTACCCTACTGCACGCACTCGCTCCCCTATGGCTTCCTGCAGCAGCCTTGCAACGCGCGCAGCGCGCAGGGGAGACGACGGCCACCCGAATACCAACAGAATATCGGCCGCTTCCAGCTGCTTCGTGTGTAGACAGGAACCGAAGGAAAACAAACATATAAAAAGAGGATAGGTAGAAAAGGCACTACTCCTGAGAGACAGCCGCTTCCTCAACGAGCGAAGGCAAANTCAAGACACAGGGGAACATCCTAGAAGAGCAACAACACATGGAACACCGAGCAAACGGAAACCAGCAGAACCAAAACATGTCCAGGCTCCAGGGCTTCCTCACCGTGAGGCAATCTCTCTCTTAGCTAGCTCCGCCACGAAACTCCGCACCGCGTAAGTGCCTGAGCAGTTCCCCGCGAGCATTCCTTCCGGAGTTACCGCCAAGGAAGGCCCAAACTTCTTCAGACGAGGAATGACTCTTCCAGCTACAAGGGCGGCAGCAAAGCATGCATAGAGCTGCTGCTGCTGCTGCTGCTGCTGGGTAGACAGCAGCGAAGCCGCTGCGCCCCGTACACGGGGAAGAGGTCTCTCCACTGCCGGAAGCGGCAGTTGCAGGGGCCCGTAGGTCGGCCGGGACCACCCCACAACTGCATCTCGGCGTGTGTCGTAGCTGAAGATACACCACAGGCGCATTTGGAAGCATCTCATAACAATCCATGTAGCGCACATCTTATACATATGTGCATGCAGTCCAGGTAACAGGCTCTACGCTGCCCCGGCCTCTGTTGTACGGGATGCGGCGCTCTGAAAGACTTACGCTGGGGCTGGCAGCTGCAGAAAGCTGTGCTGTACAAGCGGCGTGTCGCTGCTGCTAAGTTCCGCCTCATCTATAGGGTGACAGACTTGCAGAACCGCGCGGCCTGTGTGGATCAGCTGGTTGTATACGAGGAGTTTGGGGCGAGGGCTGCACGTAGGGAAGACCGCAAGCCGTATATTCCATTGTGAGCACTCATTCAGACTTAACTGTTTATCAGTGCAAGAACACCCTAGTCCCCTTGATACTCAGTGCAACTCGGGAGGTTGCCTCGATCATGCTGGGCCCTGCGATAAGCTTCAGTACGAAGAGAACAAAATACACAAGGGAAAGGTATACGTATACGTCAAAGGCTTAGGCTTACGAGACGTGGAGGATGTTGGATGTGCAGTGGACACGAGCCAACTCCCCCTTGAGCTCCGCACAACGGTAGCCCCCGCGAGCTGCTGCGCGTTGGGCTGGGGGTGCGTCGGGGGGCAGGCGCGGAGGGTCTTGCCAGGAGGCCACGTGGTCTATGAGGCCTTGCACAGCGCACTCGTGCAGACACCGTCTTGCTTCTGGTGCGGGGGGTTCGAGCCGCAGGGGCCCCTTCAACACGTTCAAATCCTCTTCCGCAGCAAGTGAGGGGGGCCCCGACGGCTTCCCGCGTCGCGCCTGCTGGAGCAAGGTACCCATTAGCTGCGCAAGCTGCGCTGCAAGCGCCCCCACCTCTGCCAGGCGGGACGCATCCAGGCCGTAAGACTTGCAGAAGCTTATTGGATTATTGGCGTGGCTGTAGGCTCCACATAGCCAAATATATGCATCTAAATCGCTGTCATACTCCTCCCACGGCCTCTTACCAGGGCCGCTGGAAGCCCCCGCCTCCCTTGCAGGATCTAGCGCCTCATCGTCGCGCGGCAATGACGGCAGCAACTCTCCTACAGAGAGTGCAGCCACTAGGTAACAAGCTAAAGCGACGAAATGGGGGCCGTGCTCCTTGTGTCTGCATGCATCGGACGCAAATAGCCCACCGGAATACACGCGCTTATAACATTTTTATTAATATCCGCCTAATAGATACACCGCCACTACAGATGAGTCGCCGTACTTAGTCCTCATTCAGAAGAACATGTACATGAAATCTTCCACCCATGAAGCCTTCCACCCAGGCTTACCCGATTGTGCCTATGTAGATCTATCTGACGCTTGCACTTGATCAAACGCACGGATACAAGTACAAACGCAACACAGTAGAAACCGAAGCAGACGTACATGACAACAAATAATGCAGATGCACATGAAAGTACCTGCATGCCCGTGTACATGACAATTCCTGTACCGATGCAGCCCCTCCAATAACAATATTAAAATACAAAAATACATTGTCATACGCATGCAATTATCCTTCTAGGAACGCAACGCAATAAAAGGGGATGGGCTGCTTACCGGGAGCAGGCCAATAGCAGGATCTTCGCGAAGCGTGGGGGTATAGGCACTTCGCTCATGCGACGGCCGAGCGCTGTGCAGCAGACCTCCGGCTCGCGCGTGTCGTTTTGCTGCAGCTTCTGGCGGGGCCCCGAGGGCTGCTGCTTCGGCTCGAGGGCCCCCAGGGCCACAAGACGGCGGCGCGCATTCGCGAGAGCAGTCCCTGGCGGCGGGGACGGGAAGGGGAAGGCAGATGGACGGGGGATGCCTGGAGAGACAGACAGGTAGCACCTGAACAGGGAGGCTGCGTTACCCTAGAGCCTAAACCCTAAACCCGAGGGTGTACGGTTTACCGCTGCTGCATGCGCTAAGGTGTATGCCTTTTTAGAGGACTAGCACCAGCAGCAGCTGCACCAAGCCGTAAGGACCGGCCGACTCCCCAAACGCAGCAGCAGCAACAACAACAACAGCAGCAGCGTTGCAACGAGCCTTATGCAGCGTCGTGCACTGCCATGTGTCAAAGGTGATGCGCTGCAACAGACGAACCCAGCGCAGCCATGAAGAGCAGCAAGTGGTCCAGGGGCACCGAGTGTATCTGCGGTGTGGGGTGGGGCTCCATCTCGTGCTGAAAGACTGCTGAGGAGTACAGGCGATAGCAGACACCAGCGCCGACACGGCCTGCACGGCCCGCCCGCTGCTCCGCGGCGGCCTGAGTAGTCAGAGTTACGGTGAAGTAGGAGAAGCCCTCAGACCCTGTGGAGAAGATGCGCCTCTTCTCCCGCCCCGAATCCACGACGTACCTGAAATTAACAACCGTAAAACCGTAGGNGAGAAGATGCGCCTCTTCTCCCGCCCCGAATCCACGACGTACCTGAAATTAACAACCGTAAAACCGTAGGCCCTAAACAATAAAGCCTAAACCCTAAACGCAGCACTGCGGTGACAGCAGCGAAGCCATGGCATGCAGTTCTGAGGCGGCAGAGATGAAGTAAGAGGCACACACAACAAGAACCGGCACCCCAGGAGCACAGCAACCCATGCTGAGGAGGCCTGGATCCCCGCACGGCCTCTCCTGAGGCCCTGGGCTAAGCTCAACGCACTCAACGCCGAAAGCGTCGCACGCGACACTGCACGGGGAGTGGAGAGAAGAGCAAGAAGGGGTAAACAGAATTAATTCAGCAGCGATAAACAAAAACGACCATCTAAATAAAATATGTGCAGACACATCATCACGATTTCAGCTCCGTTAAGGTACAGGTCCGGTGGCATTCAATTGCTGAAAAGGCACAATACAATACCTACAGCGAACGGAGAAGGCATAATGTTCCACTGCGTATTCCCGCTGCGCTTCGTAAACCACAAACCCTAGACCCTGTGCCCTTAACCCTTGTGGAACCCTTTGCATGCAAAGACGTACCGCACATTAGGTAGCGTCAGGGATGTCTCTGCCACATTTGTTGCCACAATAAGGNGCATGCAAAGACGTACCGCACATTAGGTAGCGTCAGGGATGTCTCTGCCACATTTGTTGCCACAATAAGGCGCCGCTCATCGGGGGCTGGGGGCTCGAAGGCGAGTCGCTGCAGCTCCTTAGGTAGTGTTGCGTACAGTGGGAGAACGGTGAGCCTGGGTATGAAGTGTGTCTCCTCTGTCTCTTCACTCTCTTTCTGCACTTCACCGCTTTTGTTGCTGCTCTGTTTCCTCTCATCCTCAGACGGCTTTTTCCGCAGCACCGCGCCCGCGCCCAACCACCCCCCAGCAGAGACGGCTTTCTGTGCCCGCCGCTTCGAAGTGTCTGGGCAGTCGAATGCCTCAGTGAGGCTTCGCGTTGCAGAGGCCCCACCGGTCTCCTCAGTTGACATTGTCGCCCGTTCAGTGCCCTGTGACCCCCCCGAAGGATCAGCTGGGGGCGCCTTAGGGCCGCCAGTGGTATCGTGGAGGCGCGCCGCCACCTTTCTTCTCTTCGCTGCGGCCTTCTGTCTCTCTGCGTCGTTCTTAGCACGTGAATGGGCCCCACCACTGGCCTCTTGGGGAGTCTCCCCTGCCTGTGGAGCCCCCGCTGGCGTGGCTAGGGCGACGCCGTGCTCGGGGGGCGCCCCAAGGCCCCCACGAACAGTCGTGCAGGGAGCGGAGGAAGCAGATAGTGCGGCTTGCAGTACTTCGGCTTCCGCCTCCTTGACTCCCTCTTGAGGCTCTTCATTGTCTTCTGCGTCGCTCGCCAGGGCCAGCTCCAGCAGCTTGTCTTTGGGTGGCCAGCGTCGGCTGCTGCTGTGAGAAGCTGTGCTGTCTTCGGAGTGTACGGACACCTCACTGTCAGAACCTGCTGCTGATGACTTCTCTTCGAGCGGCAGCCGCTCGTCTTCGCTTTGGTCCGATAGCAGAAACTCTGCCTCAGACACGTCCTCCTGAGCGCGAGGGTCACTCTCAGCAGCAGCAGCAGCAGCGGCGGCGGCTGCGGCGGCAGCAGAAGTCTGCAGTCTCCTTTCCCGCCGACGCTGCCAATCCTGCAGCATCTTCACGGCCTCCAAGACCTCCGCTCTCCCCGTTAAAAAGACGAGCACCGACCCCGCGGGAAGCCGCCTGCAGGTTGGCACCCCACATACCCTCAGCAACACTGTCTCCTCTCGCCAGCAAGGCTTCTGGTTGCAGTAGTTAGCCATTCCTTTTCCTTATGCGTCTACTTATAGAAATGCTTCCAGTTAAAACACAAGACAGCCGCTGTGCAGACAACCCGCTATATTATCATCCAGCGGTGCTGGCCGTACGGGTGGTCATGCATTCCTCGGGACTCTAAGGACCACTGGTCACCTAGTGCAACAGCCGTACTGGCCCTGCAGCCTAAAGAAGGGAGGGGAGAGGGGTTCCAAATGGCTTCTGCGCTATTGAAGGGACAGGCGGCTTAGAAAAAAGGTTTATGGTTTATGGTTTAGAGTCTCGAAACGTCTCACGTGTGGATTTGTAGGGCCTTCTTGACGGCTGCGTGGACATAGCGATCCGGTGTCTTCTTGCTGAAGTGCACGCGCACCTCAAAAGTGCGGCTTTCGAGAGTCAACAGCGCTGGAGGCGGAGAGAAAAGGTAAGAGTTTGCGGTGAAGTCCGTGGCTCTCAGCGTGGCCGACATTATCAGCACTCTGAATTAAAGTAAACACAAACAGCAAATACACTTACAGAAGGCCCGGTAAGGGACAAACAGTAACAGCTGCAGCAGCACCTGAAGCAGCGGCAGAAGCAAAAGCAGTAGAAAAAGCATCAGTAGCAGCAGCAGCAGCAGTAGCTGCAACGCTTCCGATGAAAAGAGGTGAACGGAGAAGGTGCGGCTGCCCCACACGCCACCGAGACACCGCAATCGAAGCTCATATTTTAACGACATCTGTAGTTGCTCGTTCCTGCCGCTCCGAGGCATCAGCGGCAGATCGTAACATATTCAAATGCTCTACAATAACCCGAAGGAGCAACGCCACCCCTGCAAGCATGCAGGGACGGGGCTGCCCGTCGGGTTGATTGCAGTGTACATACATGCTGTTTTGCTGCAGGCTGCAGGCATTCGTGCTTACTTCAGTGGCGGCAGTGTGTCTTTTTCTTTCTGGAACCGTTCTCGCCTCAGCGTCACCACACGAGACAAAAGCCCCAGCAACAAATCCACGTTGATGTTGCGCTCGTGGGCCTCATCAACCACAATGCAACAATACCTCCTGAGTCCCGCAGCAGCACCCCACAACACAGCAGAGCAGCAATGAGCTGCATGGAACGTCCGCACACAGTCCTGAAACAGCCTCTATAAACGCATGTACACAACCGACGTGAAGCCATTCATTCAACTGATACTCCATAGCGTTAAGGGCTTAGTTTAGGAGCCCGTTCACAAGTTAGGGTTTTGGCTCTACGGTTCAGCGCTGCAACCCTTCAGGACCCTGGCGGGGGCCCTAGGGTCCTCTCAGGCAGTTGGGGGCCCGCTGAAAGATTGGGGTTAGTTTAGACCCAGGAAGTCGTGTTCGGATTACCTGAGGAGGAAGTCTTCCTGTATCTCCCTGAGCAAGANTAGTTTAGACCCAGGAAGTCGTGTTCGGATTACCTGAGGAGGAAGTCTTCCTGTATCTCCCTGAGCAAGAGGCCATCAGTAGCGAACTTGAGGCGACAGTGGGGCCCCACGTTGTGTTTGTCGTGGCGCACCTGTAGAGAC